CTTTCTTGATGCTGGAAAGGTTAGTCTCGGTGCTCTATATTTACACTGTATGACTATTCTTTGTAAAAGTGAAAATGCATATCTGTTTAGAATTTTTAGTACAAATCTTTTTATTCATGGTTGAAATGCTTGTAGTTTGCAAGTTTGGAGGAATTCCAAGAGGAGTTCAAGGATATTAACCAGGAGGAACAAATTGCCCGCCTTCATAAAATGCTAGCGCCCCATCTCCTCCGAAGTAAATTTTATATCTATGCAAAAAGTCTTGTTTGAATTGTGTTGACATGTTTTATGGAGCGGTGGTCTCTTATGGGGATATTGTAATTTTCTTTACTAAATGTCTTTGGTTTTCATATTGTGCTGGCGAAAAATCTAATTCCTCACCTTGTTATATCAAAAAAATAATTTGCAAGACATAAATTAACCCAAATACCTTTGAAATGTTTCGGAGGCATTTTGATCAATTTATTTTTTGGAAATTATTTTTTAAATAATTTTATTAAGTGATCTTTGATGAGAAGAATGGACGTCTAAAATTTCAGGTTATTTGCATTTGTAAAAAAAAATAATTACAATTAAAATACGTAATTAAAATACGTAATAATTACAAAACCGTCAGATTGATCACAGATTCAATTTGGAACATTGGAATCATATGTTCATATGAGCTAGTGGGTTAATCTCAATATTTTCATATATAAATTAAAATTAGTAATTTTACTTAATTATATGATGTGAAAGTGTACTGTGATCTGCATGACAATGGAAAATCCATGGTCACAAGCGTCTCTCCCCTTTGAATCGATGTATAGATGGTGATGGAGAAACAATGGGAGCCACCACTTATTTCATCTTCCAATGGGTCCCACTACTCTCAACGACCATTGATCACTTGATCAAATAGTGATGACACTCATGACCATAGATTTAAATGGTAATATAAATTATAGTTTACTCTCCCTCGTATTTTTAAATAGATGACTGAAGAACCAACCATGTATGTCATCACCATAGCTTCCAAAAATTTTGTACGCTAGTGATAAGGATCCCAAAAAATACAAGTAATTTGGGGAATATTTTGATCCAAAATCCTATTCCTTCTATGAGTTTGGAGATGGTATTTAAGGGATTTCAAATCCTTCTATGAATTTAGAGATGGTATCTAAGGGATTTCAAATCAATTGCAAAGTGACGAGATGGTATCTAAGAGATTTCAAATCACTTGTAAAGTGAACTTTTTGAAGAGGGCCAACAAAAAAAAAAAACTTAAAAAAAAAAAAATGTAATCTTGAAGTGGGGCCAAAAAAATTTAAAAAAAACAAAAAAGAGATAATTCAAGGGATGATGTTTCTATTAGGCCTAGGCTTTACAAAAGACACAGTAAAGCCTCACCTCAAATCCTTGTTTAGAAAGTACTTATAAAAAAACAAACAATTAAAAGAAAAGATACCAGAGATTACTTCAACCGGGTTTTTTACACCCCATACCGAGTCACCATATCCAATGGCGCGGGATCAACGGTCTAGCTTCAATCTCGAATCGGGAAAGCTACTTTCGGCCAAACTAGATAACCACATTTAAATCTCTACAAAACCCTAACTCCAAAATAATTAAGCTCAAATTCTAATTTTCCCAACCCTTAGATTAGATTATGAGAGAGAAAGAATCTCTATGTTAGTCTATGTTGGGGCGTGCTCCCTAGGGTCTTTTTAGGAGAGAGAGAGTAAAGAGAGTAAAGAGAGAGGGGGGTGGTCCCTAGGGAAGAGAGAGAGAGAGAGTTTATGGGAGAGAGATGTGTAGAGATGGATGGGAGAGCACCCCTATTTATAATGAAATTTTGGTTTAGGGTTTTTTTAAGGTTTCCCATAATTTGCCTATTTCTTGATATTAAATATGAACCGTTGATCAAGATGACTTGTGGGGTGAGAGATTTGAGTCATTCATTCTATAGATAAGCCATCAACATTATGGAAGGTGCATGAACTATTATCCCCCTTTCCTTAAACCATTGTCCCATCAATATATTTAAATAAATTAATCTATTAAAGATATAGTGCATACCATAAATTGTATATTCCATTTCATATTTTCCATAAGAATATTTCAATAATATAAGTCAAGATATTCCTTCAAGATAAGCGATGGTCAATATTTCCTAATCAATATTTGACCATATGCTACAAGATATAGTTACTATATTTAATAACTTGAAGACAAGATATAGTATCCAAGGGTGGGGCGTGCCGCCCATGTATGGTATGTGGGGCCCCACCTAATACCCACATGGTGGGCCCATGTGCACTATGGGCCCCCATGTATTTTTTTAATAAATATTTTAAAATTAAACAAAATGAATTTTAAAACATTATAACTTTGTAAATTAATAACTTCATTTTTATAAGTCCAAAAATAAGAAATAAAATATCAAATGACTTATAAAAATTCAAATAATAAATTTAAAATAATTTAATAATAAAAAGAACACAATTAAATTAATATGATGGGAAATGAATCCATATGGTTCAGGAATTTAATCAACGATCACTAGGTACTCCATCTTTAACTACAGACCATACTTGCTTTATCGAACCGACCCAGTGTTTCCCTTGACCCACAGTCCAAGCAGGGGCTCATTAGCGGGTCACCAAAGTCTGGTCGATGAGCCAAAGAGTCACAATCCCAGTCTGTGGATTACAGGTCCTCCCCTAGAGACAAGTCAAGGTCTCCACGATCTGATGCGACCACAGCTCTATAGCGCGTATGAGTATCTCTCGCACATGCATATGCTTTACCCAAAGGTGGATATCTAGCTTTCCTGAACGATCTATCTATATGCATGTCGTGTAATAGAACATGAATGAGGTTTTGGCCCCCGTCTCTGTAGGCCTATCATCATACACAAGGGTTATACAGTCCCTCGGCTCACTCATTTAGGCATAAGCTCCGACCTCATCAAAGGCTAACCCAAAAACCCTTCTCGGTTTATTTTTTATGCCCAGGTACCTTGGGTTTTCCAACCGACTAGCTTAGATCGTCATGCACAGTCTGGTATCCACAAATATCATTTGCTTAGTATAGTCTTCGAAGGACCACACTCCTATTGAATTTATGTTCCACTATAATATGTGTTTTACATTACACACTCATAAGGTCTTTAAAGGCCACATAAACCCAACAATAAGTTAGGTGGCTTTTGATTATTTTCCCTATTTTAAATAACATAAAAAATAATTTCCACCAACGAAGAGGACATCATTGGTACCAGACTGCCAATTTGGATGAAAATCAGTTGGGATTTATGATTTAAAAAATGGATTAGTGACTTGGATCGGGCACTCAAAAAGTCTAGATTGGTTAATCGGAGGTCCATATTGTTGTTTTAATTTGAAGAAAAACAATGAGCCGACGAAAAAACAAGTGAAAAATCAGTGAACTAATAAAAACCTGATCCAGATTGGTATCATTGTTTTAAAAGTTAATGATCTGGACTGTCAATCTGGATAAGAATAAGTCAGGACTTATGATTTTAAAAAAAATGGATGAATGACCCGGATCAGGCACCCAAAAATCGGTATCGAACATTAAATCGGCGGTCTAGCTCAGTGTTTTAATGTGAAAAAAACCCAAAAATAGTGAAAAAATAGTAAATTGGTAAAAACCTGATCCAGATTGGTGAATCGGCTGGCAAAAAACCAAGCGAAAAAACAATTCTCTCATAAAAATCTGATCCAAATTGGTGTATCGGCAGTCGGGATCGCTGTTTTTAGAGAATCATCGTTTTAGTGTACCCCACTAATCGGGTTTTTGAAACAGTGTTGGCATCAATAATAACGACAAGTTGAGCTGGTGTTAACGTGTACCCACGGGATTATTTTATTGGCGCTATTTTGTTTTGAAAATCAGAGAGTTTGACATTCTCTGTGTCTGCATCCTCTCAACTCTTTGTTCTTCTCTTCTCTCCGTTCTTCTCACTTTCATTGAAAATAATTCATTTAATTTGTCATTTTTGTTTAAAATTTCCTGAAAATATTTATTTATTGATTTTTTTAACATTTTATGCCCATTAATTCTTCTGCATTTTCCATTTCTACTTCTCTGCTAATTCCATATTTTAATCCCTATTTTAATGGCAACCATCTCTAGGTCAATCCCTACCTCTGTCCAATTATTTCTAGGGTTTTTTTTACTGCTACTTGCTCTGGTTTATACGTAAATTTAACTGGTTTGTCTCTTGTCTTCATGGGTTTCGAGGACTAAAACTAGTGTTTCAAATTTCAGTACCATCATATGAGAATCAAGGTTTATTCTTTCTGATTCACTGGTTTTCTCTGGTTCTTTGTAAGTATCCACCTTGAATTTCTTAGTCTTTTATTCCTCTTTTGGCAAATTGCTTTTGTTTAATTAATCAATGGTTTATTATTATAAGGAACAAAATTTGATTAATGGATTGACTGTTTCCTGGGATTAGGGTTTTCTTGGCCTTTTCCTCTCTCACATTTGGACACCGTCAAGGAATTAAGATCAAAGCTCTGAATTAACCGTTGTTTGTTTCCTTTTGGTGTTTTGTTTATGTTTGATTTGAATATGTTGGATTTTCTGTTGTATTGGGGTCTCATGGATTGCTTGGTTAAGTTGATATATTGGTTTTTTATTGGTGTCTTGCTCTGTGGAATTCATTTTTTCTGCCTGCTATTTTGCTAAGGTTTAAATTTAAGAAAAAGGTGAGATTGAGGAACCATGCTATTTGAGTTTTTGAGATTTACAAGAAAAGGTTTGGACTGAGATTTTTAGGGCCTCTGAAGGTTGGCTATTTGTCTTTCTTCAAAGAATTCGAAATTTGTTGAGAATTTAGGGTTTATGAGGGTTTCTATGTTTCTGCGATTCTTTATTTGCATCCAGTGCACTGGAATATCAGGCTTTACCTACTGTTGGGTTCTAATGCTTTCTCTATGATCTGGTTTGTGTTGAAATTCCCTCTGAGATCACTGAATTTTGCTCTTTGAACCCAGATAGCAAATTAATCACTTCAAACATTTTCTCGAATGATTATATGATTGTCTTTGTATTTTCAAACTATCTTCAACTCAATTTTATTATTTATGCTCCAGTGAAATTAGTTCAAAACTTCAAATTTATTCTCTTTTTCTCTCTATATGTTCCCCATTTGGTTTATGCTCTTTCTTTATAAGTTTGACATTCTTGTTTCTAGTTCTATTGGTTTAAACCTTCATTTGTCCTGAAACCAGCTATTGGGTTCTAAAGAATTTGACTATGTCAGTTCTGTCAAAAAAAGAAATCCTTTTGGATTAAGAAGTTACTCCATCTAGTTCTTTCATTTGACTTCGGCTTAGGATTTTACTTGAATTTCTTTAAATTACAGAGTCAAGTCTTGGTTGTATACAACCCCCGAGAAAAGGAAAGAGCCTCTCCATTTATTGAACAATTCGGTCACAGTTCTGCAAGAGAATCCTTTGATTCTCTTCATCTAACAAATGTTCAAGCAAGAAAGGAGAAGATTGATAGATGATTATGAAGTTGATGAGGTGTTGGGAAGAGGGGGATTCTCAGTTGTAAGAAAAGGAGTCAGCAAGGACAATGGGAGCAAAACTGAGGTGGCTATTAAAACCCTCAAAAGAGTAGGCTCCTTACCGCTGGGAAATTCGAGAAACCAGTCTACGCGATTTGGCAAAGCAGCCTCTGGATTACCCACATGGAAACAGGTTGCGATCTCAGACGCTTTGCTCACAAATGAGATCTTGGTCATGAGAAAGATTGTTGAAGATGTTTCTCCTCACCCCAATGTGATCCACTTATATGATGTTTATGAGGATCAAGGTGGGGTTCATTTGATTTTGGAGCTTTGTTCAGGGGGTGAGCTATTTGATCGGATAGTTGCTCAAGCGAGATACACAGAGGCAGGAGCAGCAGCTGTGGTCAGGCAAATCGCGAGTGGGCTGGGGGGTCTTCACCAAGCAAATATAGTCCATCGGGACTTGAAACCCGAGAATTGCCTTTTCTTGAACAAGAGTGAGGATTCTCCATTGAAGATTATGGACTTTGGGCTTAGTTCAGTGGAGGATTTCACTGACCCAATTGTGGGTTTGTTTGGGTCAATTGATTATGTCTCTCCTGAGGCATTATCACAGCGTAGGGTTTCGGCTGCGAGCGATATGTGGTCTTTGGGGGTGATCCTATATATCCTTCTTTCTGGGTAAGTGAGAATTGCATGTATATATCTGATAGATATAAGGGTACAGTAGTATTCTCATGGAACATCTGTATGGTTATGGCACACCAGCATCTTATGGAGTAGGATATCCTAGTTTTCTTAGTTTATTTGTAGTTAGGTGTTTTTTTGTTGCAAAGGTTTCCAATTATCCTTCTTCTCAGTGAGATCTTCCTGAAGTCCATTAGTTCAACCAGAAACCCGCAATAATCTATTTTGCCTAGTTAACTACGTGGTTCCATTTCCTGTTGTAATCAAATGCTTCTTTGGGCAGTTGACAAAGAACACTATTTTTCTTTGACATGGTATTTAAGATTTATCTCAATTTAATTAATTTCAGGAAGGTACACTTATTATTTAATTCTTTGTATCTGTTTGATGCCTCAGGTACCCACCTTTCCATGTAACATCCAACAAGGAAAAACTACGCCTTATATTAGCGGTAAGAAGATTCATTGAAGTCGCAAATTTGTGCATGTCACACCGAATAATGTGCTTTAGAGTAATTTTAATTTATCTAATTGTGTAGAAGATGGTAGTTATTGTTTGGATCATAGAGTTCGTCATTCTCAGTATACATGGAACGAGGAAACTTATGCGTGAACTTGTTTTCCTTATGATAATTCTTGTCCTGCGCTGGCAGAGGATTAGAATAGTTTCCATGATTATACGATCTTTCTTGCTTTCGTTCAAGTTTCATATCCAAAATCCAATGCAATTTTGAAGATCTGTTTTCTATTTACTTTAACAAATTATTTTGTGCAATCCAGGGAGATTTCAGCTTTGACGAGCATACTTGGAAAACCATCTCACCATCAGCAAAGCAATTGATATCCGATCTCCTGGCAGTTGATCCTCACAGGAGACCTACTGCCAAAGAGGTGTGACCCTGATTTCTTTGGCACTTGAGAGGCCTTTTGTGCATCCTGTCGTATTCCATTCTATACTAATTTGTTTCATCTTGCATTCTTCAAAGCCTTCATGGGTTTTAAACTGGGGAAAGGAAAGAACATAATAAATCAATGGACCATGGAAAACCATTATTCATTCGGGTCATGACCATATAATGAAGTGATAAATGGTGATGGTGAGCTAGTGGGACCCATCAGAATGGGACATCATCTCATTGGTTGGTCCCACTTTTTCCAATCTACATTCTTCAAAGTTGTGGGGGGGGTGGTAAACATTTCAGTGTGTTATAATGGCGAACGATAGTTTTATATAATGCCGTTATAATAGGTGTAATGCTTATTCTTCGGTGATGTTTGCTGTAATGGCTGTTGCAACTGTAGTGACTGTCATAACTATGAAAATCACATCATATAAAACCTTGCCATCCATGTCATTGGGGCCAACCTCAGCTGGTTATCGTTTTCCATTGAGTTCTTTTTTGATGGGTTCAATGTGCATTGAATTAGAGTGTACTTTCCCTTTTCTGAATTACAGTGTCCATTGGCAAGATACTATTGCCAATGGCAGAAGTCCATCGCAACTAGTGCATTGCACGTGCATGTGCACACACACACACAGGCAGTCCCCCTGGGGGATGGGGGGTTTGATGTGATTTTTCCTTTTGAAAGTCATTTTAGGGAATTGAAAATGAACCTCAGGAAAAAGTGCATTTTAGGTAATTGAGGGTAGAGAGGGAGCTTTTACGTGAGTGTTGTTGGATAATTGGATCTCCTATTTGTAGAGAGACAGACTTTCAGCTCACAATTTCCGATTTAGATGAGTTTCCTCTTAAGAGTAAATGGGATTAGTTGAAACTTGAAATTGAGTATATCTATGTAAAAAATGTAAATTTAAAAGCTATCACGAAATTTTGTCGGATTGGTAAAAGCTATTAGAAAGAGGTTCTTTCATCAGTATGATAAAAAGAAGAGCTCGGTTCATCCATTTGATAAGAAAAGGTTATTTCATCATTATGTTAAAAGAAATGAGAGGTTATTTCATCATTTTCTCCATATGGACCAGAGACACGAGGGTGTCTCTGCTTTCGTGATATTTTTCAGTATGCAAAACAATGGTGTGTGTACCAACCTCTCTCTCTCTCTCTTTCTGTATGTGAATTTGTATTGAATAAATTTTATTAAATTGATCTTGAAACAGCTTCTTCTACATCCCTGGGTAATAGGGGATTCTGCAAAGCAGGAGCTCATGGATGCCGAGGTGGTTTCTCGATTGCAAAGTTTCAATGCTCGCCGTAAGTTTCGAGCAGCAGCAATAGCGAGTGTTTGGAGCAGTGCCATGTTCCTTAAAACAAAGAAACTGAAGTCTATGTTGGGCTCCCATGATCTTACTCCTGAGGAACTTGAGAAATTGCGGGGTCACATTAAAGAAATGTAAGCTAGCCCTCTATTGAAAATTTGCTCGTCTTTATGTATTTTGATACTGAGAAGGAAAACAGTATTGAACTTGAATTTTTGGCGCAAGGCTTGGAGAAAGGGATAGAAGATTTGGGAGAATCAAGTCTCCCTAATTTCCCCCCAAAAATAATTGAAAATTCCCATTCTCTTTCCTCTATGAGAATGATAAATTGTTTTTGGGCAGAGCCCGGTGGGAGAGAGGATTGGAAGAACGCAGTCTCCCTAATTTCCCTTCAAAATAATGTGGAAATTTCCCTACCGTCTTTTTTTCTATTGAATTATGGCCACATCTCAATTAGTTTTTCTGTTTATCACATAACTTTTAGGTGACCTCTCTCCCTCTCTCTGAACAATTTTTTATTGGATGCAGATGCGCGAACAGAGACAGCGCAACACTGTCAGAATTTGAGGGAGTGCTAAAAGCTATGAATATGCGTTCGTTACTTCCATTTGCTCCTCGCATCTTTGACCTGTTTGACAACAACAGGGATGGAACTGTCGATATGCGAGAGATTCTATGCGGCTTCTCCAGCCTCAGGAATTCTCGTGGCGATGATGCTCTTCAGCTCTGCTTTCAGGTATATGACTTGCTTTCTTTGCTCCCGACCAAGATTGTGAATTTCTTGATATCATGAAAATATGGAAGGATTTTCAAAACTGAGAAAATAAATGGAAGTTTCCATCTTTCATATAATTTGGGAAGTATATATTCATACTTCTAACTTTCCAATATCATTTGGTTCTCAGATATATGATACGGATGGATCCGGATCCATATCCAAGGATGAGTTGGCCTCAATGCTCAGAGTATATTTCATCTTCTTAATCTGCACTGTATATTTTACTTGCTCAGCATCCACGTTTGCATCTCTCTCAATTGTTTTGGGTGAAGAAATTCAAGCAAGTGGATGCACCTGAATCAGTTTTCCTTAACATGCAAAGTAGGGATCAATATTGTTGAGTGATAAAAGTTATGAAAGAAGAGAAAAGAGAAATGCATAAAAACCGAGGACTTGCCCGATTTTAGTTTTAGTACTCGAGTCTGAATGACTTGGGTGTCTGAGAACAATGCTCTTTAAAAGACCGGATATAAGTGTAACATTTTATAATCTCACCTACACATTCGCATACATCCATGACGTGTGTGTGTGAGGGAGAGAGGGAGGGAGAGGGGGGTAGAGAGTTTTTCTATATGGAGAATTTCTTAACTTGCGATTCATGACGTGCAGGTTTTGCCGGAAGAATGCCTGCCCCGGGATGTAACAGAGCCAGGGAAGCTAGACGAGATATTTGAGCGCATGGATTCAAATAGTGATGGGAAGATAAGCTTTGAGGAGTTCAAGGCTGCCATGCAGCGCGACACCTCCCTCCATGACATCGTCATCTCCTCCCTCCGTCCCTTCTGATGCAACCCAATCTCTCTCTCTCTCTCAAAGTAGAAAACAGATGAGGTCCTAAGAGGGAGGAAGTTGTACATGAGTTCGAAGTAGTAGTAGTAACAGGTGCTCTATATCCAGGAATTGTTGTAACCTATGTTCTCTCTCTCTCGCTCTACAAATTGTATGCCCTCGCATGGGAATGTATTTATTTGTTTGGATACACCGACTATTTTCATTGGCCTTGTAATGTTGTTTGGATTTGGGATAGCGAATTTAAGGGCTCCTGTATGTGAAGTTAACCAGAGAGAGAGAGATGGAAAGAGAGAGCAACATTTATCAAGCACAACCAGAAAGAGAGAGACCAGTGAGTCTCAAAGTACACAAGAATGCCAAAGAAGAAACATATTATTTTCCTGCCCTCGAGAGTCATTAACAAGGGGAAATTTACTAGTAGTTTAGTACATCTTACAGATCAGTCAACCTACACTATTGACCTCTGTAAATATACATAGGCAGATCTTCGATCCATATTCCACAGCTTGACGTAAACATCAGCTCTTCTCAAATTTCAGACATTGACATTTCTCACCACAATCGTGATCTACACAAGGCATATTTGATGAAATTAGTGTTCTAACCCCAAAACCCTAGACCCCACTCTAAAACCAAACACATCGTCTTGGTCTTTATAAAATCTGAAAGCCTCACAATCCGTCCAAAGCCATATTTCATAACACGGTAGTGGATATAGACTTACACTATGGTGGTAGGTGCAGCTTTTGGCTTCGCACTAATAGCTTTCCATGAAACGGCAGGCATGATTTGAGACATGTCAACTCGGTCTTTGTATTGCATTGCGAAATTGAGGAGCGAGTCCAATAGTGAATCAGAAAGGAGGTGGGGTTCAAGCCCTAGCTCCATGAGCTTGGTGTGCTTAGCATTGTAATAGTGCTCCTCAGCTTCTACTCTTGGGTTAGGTACTGAGGTTGTTTGGACTTCAAGCCCTGCTTTCTTCCCTGCAATTGTGACTAATCGCGCGAGATCGTTTACTGAGAATTGCTCGGTGAATTGATTAAAGACTCGGAATTCACTTGACTTTGCTGGATTGGCAATGGCGAGCTCAACACATTGGACTGTATCCCTGATGTCTAGGTAACCTCTGGTCTGCGGGTTCAAAAAAGGAGAAGTTAAGATATTCTGGATGCCTTCTATAAAGAAATAATAAGGGTTTTTGTTTATTAGCAAGAAAAACACGAGCTTTTTTTTTTTTGGGTTGTAGAATTACAGCTTGATATGAGAAACTTCCCTTGAAGACACATTACTGCAGGTCAATTCAAGTATTAAGTATCAAACTAGGAAAAAAAAAATAGTTATCAAAATAAAATAAAACTGACTATAAAATCAATTTTCCTTTTGGTTATTAAGTAAAAAGAAGACCTGGTTACAGTTATGCTGTATATCTGAGAAAATAAGTTCTACAGTTATCAAATGGCTCAAATGTCGCACTCAAGTGGGAGAACATATAAGCAGGAAGGTCTATACCTCGTGATTAAGTTCGAAAAACCTAAAAACTACTAAACACGAAGAAACCAGCAACACCGCTAATTATAAAGAACAAGAGAATTCTCCTTGCAACTGTTTCCATTAGGTTACGGGAATTGCATTAGGTGCTGTCATAGAAAAAAAAAAGAAAATTCTCATAAACTCTTTTCGATTTTATGATCAGTAAGTAAAATATAATTATCCTCAACTCTTTTCTCCTGGGGCATTTCGGAATTCAGTTAACTGTTTCAAACGTTTTCCTTAGTTACTGAAACTTGCAGGGTCACAAGCGTCTAGTATTTTACAACCCAGAGCAGATTATATTTTGCTATTTGTTCCACAAGTCAGTTATAATCTACCAATTAGATGTTTAAATGTTCTCATTCACATTTAGAACAATTGAGAATGTACTATAATAATCAGAGAAGCATTTTTGGGAGAGATTCTGGTCAATTCTTGATGCAAAAATCAGGAGCTTGGCATATGAATACTCTGCAAAACAGATCCATAGGCACTCTACATTCATCAAGAAAACCAAAGGAAAGAAATAATATAATATAATGCATATGATTATAGAAAAGCTCTGGCTCTTGAGCATTATCACCATCCAATCAATTGTGGTACCCCGATGGAGAAGAGTTGAGGCCAGAAGAACATGACATGATCCAGGTGGTATGCTCCCACAGTCCACCAACTGTTTGGATGGTGATAACACTAGCTATCATGGCTTCCCAATAATCAACTGGATCGTAGTATACATTCCCAAAAACAAAATTAAAAAAACCATTAAGTCTCATATACCTGGCCACCTTTTCCATAGACAGTGAGTGGGTGACCCACAGCAGCTTGCACACAAAACCTGTTCAAAGCAGTCCCAAAAACCCCATCATAATCCAACCTATTGCATAGCTCCTCATGCATTGCAGTCTCCTCAGTCCTCACTCCGTACACCACCCCCTGATTCAAATCTGTGGCCCTCAAACCCCAAGCCTTGCAAGCAAATGCAATATTATGGGAATCATGCACCTTGCTCAAGTGATAAAATGAGCTCGCTTGCTTCGGATAGGGCAAAGTATCGGTCCTCCCATTATGTGTAATTGTAATATACCCTTCTTCTATGTCGATATTTGGGGTTCCATACTCCCCCATCGTGCCCAACTTCACCAAATGACACTGCCCTTCTGAGAATTCCTTAATTGCAAAGAGAGCATTGAGAGTCCCTATCACATTATTGTGTTGGGTATACACCGCCCTCCCTCGATCGATCATCGAGTATGGAGCTGATCGCTGCTCCCCAAAGTGGACCACAGCCTCTGGCTCGAAGGCCTTGAAAGCTTCAGATAGAAACTCAAAGTCACATATATCGCCTATAAAGAGAGGGATATGTTTATTGGTGAGTTGAGCCCACCTCTTGGCCCTTACATGGATAGATGAGATTGGGGTGAGAGAATGGATACCAAGCTGTTCATCTATGTGTCGCCGAACTAAGTTGTCTAATATGGCTACCTCATAACCTTTGTTAGAGAGATGGAGGGCAGTGGCCCACCCACAATAGCCATCGCCACCAATGACCATTACACGCTTGGGCTTGAAGGTTTCAGAAGAGGAAGAAAGATGGGTGGTTTCTGGCTTCTTTGTTGGGGTTGTGGTTGCAGCCGAGGCTTTAAGTGTGAGGCTCTTTCTTCTTCTTTGTGCGTTTAGATGTTTAAAAGAGGAACTAGAGGTTTGGAGAGAGGAAAGAAAGGCACATTGAGTTAAGGGTTGGATGGGTTCGATGTGGTTTATTAAGGGACTAATGGTGAAAGAAGCTGGGAGTAACAGCGCCATTGGATACTTGGTTTTTCGTCTTTGTTGAGATGCTTAGCTAACAATGATAAGAACCTGAACACAATGAAAATTTTGAAACTGTTTGAAGGATCGTTAAGGGAAGAATATCTAATAACAACATCCTAAGACATTAAGTCCCCCTTCAATTATGCATATTTGAAAGTAAAACAGAGCAATGGGTAAAAATTACAACGTACAAATCAGTATTCACATACATAAAACATATACATGGTTCACTTTTCAATATTTTTTTTGAAGGGCAAAAGGGTTTTTCTGACCTGAGCCAAATATGAAGACTGCAAGGACAATATAACATAAAACAAAATGAATATGAAAGCCAGATCCATAAGTCAGCTAACTAGCCAAAGTGTTGTAACATTTTCAGCATAAAATTCATTACTTGTGCTTTTTAATGTTTTGTTTGACCCTTCATGCAATTAATAGATTCTACTACAATAGTCCCTCGGATTCGGAAAGAAATAACAAGAATGGCTGACCCTATAGCAGATTCCACAGCTACCACTATTGGAACCAATGAAGCAAATGATTGACCCGCTGAAAAATTGATTATTTGTGTTCATATTTTGCTTTCTACACTGTATTATAAGACCCCATAAGTCCACAAATGTTTGGGGGAATCACAAATAGACCCAATTTTTATGCAGGTGGGCCTGCAGGCATGCCTGCATCTTGCACTGTTGGATTTAGTTGGACAGTGCAGATTGCACCTACAAACATCAAAAAATTTCGATTCTAACCGATGTTAGCATCGGTTTAAAACTCTACCTTATTTTGAATTTTACCTTCTCTTTTGGCTAGTATTCCAGGTTTCCCCTTCAAAATAACATAAAGGTGCCTCAGATGATCCCCCAAAAAAATTAGCAAGAAAAGGAGGTGTAGTGACTCTTATGGGGGCCCACGGCTATTTATAAAACCCGCAATGCACTAATATGAGCCTCATGCACATTATGGAAACCTATGTGTGGTAAGCAGCACTCCCAGCAGCTTACTCCGTTTGATGATGATTTTCTCACGTGTAACGCACTATTATGGGACTCATGCCTATTATGGAACCTGCAATAATAATGCATTTTACATAAGATCCATGCACTTTCGAAAACTCAATATGGAGACCACCCGAAGGGCCAAATCAAATTAAATTTTGACGGGTGCTCTTTTTGCAACCCTGGTCCAGCTGGTATAGGTGGACTGTTCCATGACAAAGACAACAACATTTTTACTTTCGCTCTAAGACAACAACATTTTTACTTTCGCTCTCCATCCCAATTGGGATCTGAGATTCTATAGTAGGGGAAGCTTCAGCTCTATGGGAAGGACTCAGAAATTTCAATCCTGTGAGGGGCCTCTCTCTTACCATTGAAGGCGATTCGTCCTGTGTGATTTCCTGGGCCTCAGCCTCTGCTGCCTGGCCTTGGAGACTCGACAGTATTTTCGAGGAAATTACCCGTCTCAGTAGAATCCCTCTTGTCCGTTGGAGACATATTTGGAGAGAAGCAAATGGCGACGTTGATGCCCCAGCCAAAGCAGCTGCATCTATCTCTAAAGGTGGTTTTCAGGCCTGATGTCCTCCTCTCAGCTTCGGGCCTGCCTTTTTTGGGTTTTCAAATCAGATATGTATAGCATTTTTTCTTGCAGCTATGCCTTTGTAATCCGTCTGTGGATAGCCTATTTTTTTGGTTGAAACCCTTCTGTGGGTTTCAGTCCCCTCCTTGCCTATCTTTTGTACTTAATTTCTTTTGATCAATAGAGCTAACATATTGAAAAAAAAAAAAAACTCAATATGTACCAAATGTTTATAATATTCTATTGTATTTGGATGATTTTCCTGTTGTAAGTTATTTATGTAACCCCTATAATACTTCAGAACAAGAAATCCAAAAGGAGATCAAATCTTTAGAATCTACCCCAAAAAGAACATGATCATGGTGGTAATTTACTAATACTCCCAATGACAACATTATGCAAAATTACTAGAGTTCTTTGTGTATAGCCATAGGTTCTTAAGAAATCACAGCAGATATTTTTCACTACACAAACAGGGCTCTGTGCAGGAACCTCGCCGTGGGTATTAATTTTTATAAAATTTTACAAAAGTTAAGGAACTAATCCTTGTTTAGCGTATATCTATTAGTGACTAAAAAAGGCAGGCTCAAGCAGGGACTCGCAAGGCTAGGGTCCCAATCCCAAGTCACCTAGTTCAACCTGAGGCTGATCCAGACCAAGGAGCTTTTAACAGAGATACTTAAAAAATTATTGAAAAAGGATAGACTCCAATGACTACAAGTTTCTTTTTTTTTCCTTCAGATTCCTGGTTCCAGACCCAGATTGACTATGTTGAATCCTAGTCTGCCTTGCCATTTTAACTAATATCTACAACAGTGTTGGGGGACAAGGACTCAAGTTGGGACTCGTCAGGGTCGTGATCCCTAGTCGGGTCTGTACAAAGAAATCATCATCACCATCATCATTATAGCCGCTTTCCCAATTAAGTCGGGTCGGTTGTCTGTACAAAGAAATATATTCAATTATTCTGAACATGCCAAACTCGCCTGGTTCCCGCATGGTTTGTTTCAGGCTCAGCAGCATGTCAAGTCCAAGTGGACTATCTACAATGAGACCTAGCCATAAAGAACCTCACTAAATATGCTCTTTCATTCCTTGGGGGCACGAAGCTCGATTTCAGGTATAACTTTCGAATCACAGTTCTATTTTTACCTTATAATTTGGAATTTATTTCTCGTCATTTATATCTCATAGGGATGTAATAGATCATCATCATCAAAGCTTTTTCCCAACTATTTGGAGTTGGTTACACGAATCCTAGTCGGCCATTCTGTAATGTATATAGATCACTCTTCTGAATTACATGCTCCTCACTTTTGCCTTTTTACTTTGTTAAATGTTTTTTCTTTTAATCACTATTAGGAGGAATAACAGTTAGTGCCATAAGAGACGACATTAAAGACTGAAAATTTCTCAGAAAACGAGATAACTTCCCAGAAAATTACTAACAATTTTTTTCGGGTAAATAGAAAATTGCTAACAATGAATCAAAATGGCTGAATTTCTGGTTCACCTAAACTGCCCATTCTATTTCTACAAAAAAGGAAAAAAATAAATAAATAATGAACAAATAAGTAGATATATGCAATTTTCAAGTAAATTTCCGAGCATGAATGACTGTAAATGACTTGATAGAAAGGATTACCTCTTCTTTTGTTTCTTCAAGAAAAATTCCCAGAATCTCGGGCCAAAGGTTCAATTTCACATGAAATCACTGGAATTTACTGTAAAATCCAATTTTGATGGGGCTTTTTATCCTTTTCACAAGAATAAGCCTTCTAAGTGTGAACAGCTCAAGAATGGAAAAAGAAAAACTAGGGTTTTACGAGGTAATGAAGTGACAATGAGAGTTTTGCAGAGTGTTCTGGAAAGAAACTGTAGAGAGAGAGTGAGGGGACTTCAGCCGCTTAAAACAAATCGCAGGTTTCTCCTGCAACAAGAAAAGAACAAAAAACATAACAAAACTAATTTCCGGGATAAAACGGAGGATACCATGTAATATTCCTTTTTCGGTGACAATGGCTACATTAACCCTTGAACTTTGAATATTCTCTGCTCTGCTCGGGTGCATATACCATGCTCCCGAGGGAGCATAGTTTACTTCTACTCCCTTATGGTGCTTGGGAGGATTTCCTTTGTGCGCAAGGGTGCCGCGGTCCGAGTCCGACGCTTGCTATGAGCGTTCCCAAAGTCGATTGGGAACGCTTAATCGGACATGAGCTTGGAAGAGGTTTAACTGGTTTAATTGGTAAACCGACCGATTCAACCATTCTAACTGGATAAGTCTTATGCTGTTAAAAAAGTAAAAAATACAAAAAATATTTTACTAAAATATAAAGAAACATATAAAAAGTGATTAAAACAAAACACATTCAAATAAAGTTTGAAAATATATAAAAACAAATGGATTTTAACCCATTTTATATTTTTCAATAATCATTTTTAAAATTTTAAAAAAAGATGGAAAAATATAAAATTGAGTATTAATAACCAAAACAATTTTTAATCCTTACCATAATATAAACAATATTTAAAAATGCATTGCAAATCAAATTCTTTATTTTTGAGAATTTATATACTTTTTTTTTTTTAAATACCAGTTGATCACTCAAACCGCTCAAAACCGGAATCCGCCAAGGTTAGCGGTTAGATCGGGAAATTTTACGAACAATGCTTGGTATACTATTTTTGGAGTGGACCGACAGCTTTTGGTATATACTTTTTTGCACAAGGGTGCTACAGCTCACACTTGGTATACTATTTTTGGAAAGGCCTTCAAACTATTAGTGTTTTTACTCGAGTTATTTGCTATAAAAGTTAGTTTTGAAGTAAAAATTGGGATAAAAAAATTAATATTTTTAGTATAGGTTTCAGATAATGATTTGGGGAGCTTTGCTATAAAAATTAGTTTTGAAGTAAAAATTGGGATAAAAAAATTGATTTGAGAGAAAATGTAAATACTTACATTAATAAGTATTTCATCTCTCTATCTAAAAACAAAATTGCTCGAAAAGTTATTTTGGCTGGTGTTCAACTACTCGGGGAAGTCCTCTTGGAATCACCAGTGTACCCCCAGTTGGGTATCCAACTTGGGAATTTTAAAAGAAATTAAAGAAAGAAAAATGATAAATCTATTTGTAATATGTTTTTTTTGTGTTCTATCATTTTGATAAAATTGAAAAGTATTTCGGCCTTAAATATTTATTTTAACATTTTCCCATCTTTTTTGGATGGATCCAGTTTCTATGCAGCCAAGTCCACATATATCAAAATGCGAGCCTCTAAATAAATTTATCTTTGAGATGGATTTTAAGACTTAATTTTTAAGGACATGTAATCTCTAACATAGAGAGCATAAATATGAATAAATAAATAAATTTTAAAAACTAAAAACAATAATTCTAGTAAGCGTTTCCATTGTTTTAGATGGAACACCTACTTGCATCCATCTTTAAGATGGATGCATTACAATTTTTGGACCGCATATGTAAAAATGCAGTCCAGCCTGCATGAAACAATTTTTTTTTTGGATTATTTAAAAAATACCTTGAGTCACAAATTAATTTTTTAAATCTATAATTTTTTTACTACTTTTTAAGCCTCATTTAGATGTGTGTTGTTTAATCTTACTTTAAAGTTTAAACATATATTTTCTATTTTTTTGTATTTTTAAAAAATTTAAACACTTGAACATCGGCAGAAGTCGGATTGGACACAGACCCAAAATAGTATTCAGGTCCAGGTTGCTTGGACGCTATCTTTCGAGTCCAAAATTTGGACCCATACCCAGACCCGAGGTGCCCTTTTATTGTCATCATATGCCCATATTATTGACAACATTTACAATATTGCAAAACATTAATGAATACCCACATTTCTTACCTTTTTACGTAATAACTGAATATTCCTAAAAAAACAAACGTATTGGCAACATTTATAAATACCCATATATGCCCATATTATTTGGGTCGCTTCCTGCCGGACCCAGACCCAAATAGCATTCAGGTCCAAGTTTTGAACCCAGACACGACCTCGGGTCCAAAATTTGAACCTCCTGGTTGGGTCCATTGCCACCCCTGCATAATTCTGACCTGAACCGACCCGTTTATAGAGCCCCACCTTTTGCAATGGCATTTGACTCTGTTACAGGTCCAGCAAGACTAGTCGATTAGGGGCCATTGGCAAGTAGCAACCAACCATTTTTCCCTCCCAAAAATGGTTATTTGAACCATGCATTGACCCATGTGGTAACACAACAGTGTCGAGAAAAATAAGGAAACAGTGGTGCGATGCATACTACTCAAAAGAAAGCCAAAATGTGTGTAAGCATTTCCCCACTTGAGTTTTATACTTCCACATTTTCACAAGGAAAAAGTTTATATAAGGTGTCAAACCTTATATTGTACGAGTATAGCACACCTTAAAAAAAGTGATGTTTTTGTGTTGAAGACCCTCAAATTGATCATCTTGGCCTCGAGATTCATAGACATGAAAAAAGGGAGAGTTCTAGTCCTAAAAATAGTTCATCGTTATCATTTTTTAAAACTTTAAATTTCATAATTGGGGGCAAACAATGGTTTAAAAAGCGGATCGGTGAGGCACCTCAAAAACCGATCCAGATCGGGAATCGGCTGAATCGGTCGGATTAAAGCTTCAAAAAAATCCGAAAAAATTATTAAATTCATTATAAATATTGTTTTTAGGAATCCAATAAAAAATGAGGGTACTACATTAATAACTTTCATTTTTTTTATCAATTTGTGAATATTCAGATGTTCTTTCCCTGTATAAACTTATTTTAACTATTAAATTTGCATAACATAAAACAAAAATTATAGAATTGTCATGGATAAAATATATAACTATATATGGACTATTATAAAGAGTAGACAAATCAATGAAATAATGGCCATTAAAATCTCGTTTTGACAAAAAACCCTAACCCGCTAAAAAAACCCAAACTATTACAGCCTAACTAACTATAATCCAAAATTATTACAACCTCACTAATTATAATATTATATACTGAAATTATAATTATTAGTTTATATTTTATAATTATTTTATTAGACAAATAAGAACAAATTAAAAATATTTTACAATATTATCTAATTTAAAATGTATTATTGACAACTGTAAGAAAAATAGTACATTACATGATTTATAATGTAAAAATTCATAAATAAAATAAAAGATTTGGTTTTCAATGTAAAAATTAATAAAATGCGTACAAATTTTAGAAATAACACTTCAATTTTTCAAAAATTTATTTTTTTAGGTTTCTATAATATTTAGTAAAAGAGATTGTTAGTAAAAAGATGGAGATTTCAAATGGAATAAACTTTTTATTTTTATTTTTTTTATACCTTTCATATTATTTACAAAAATAATTATACCACTATATACAACAAAAATTAACTGTTATATAAAAAATTAATGTTTTTATTTTTCATTTGTTTATGTTTTTTATATTATTTACAAAAATATTTATATTTATACCAACCACTATATACACAACAAAAATATTTATATTTATACCAACCACTATATACACAACAAAAATGCAACACATGCCCAAGGGGATTCGACCTTAGGACCTCAAGTAAAAAAAT